AAAATGCCGAAGCGACATAGCCCTGAACTCTCCCTGGTCCAGTTGCTCGCACAGGTCTTCGAAGCTGGGCTTTCCGGGACACTCCCCATCCTTGAGCTTGTAGTACCTCTTCTCAAACTCTTTTCGGTAGAGCTGGAGGTCCACCGGCGGGATGATCTTCGCCGCTTTCTGCAAGGTCGCCTCCGCGTCCATCTCATCCTGGACCGAAATTCTCTTCCCCGCAAGGCCAGGCGAATCGCATCCTTAGGCCTCACATCCACGTCCACCCCCAGCGCGGGCACCAGCGTCTTTCTGTCCACGGCTATGGCAGCCAGCATGGCCACCGATAGCACCCCCAGGTCATAGAGACCCGCCTGCATAGTCTTGTCCACCGCCCTTGCCTCCAGCAAGCCTTGGAGATCCGGATTCAGGTTCCCGATCTTCTCGTCCTCCGTCAATGCCACCATGGCTCAACTGCTCTCCGGCAGCCTTAGCAGGGGCTCCGCCCTTGAGTCTTCCTGACTCTGGCCTCCGGCCTGACCCTTCCCGGTCTATTTGAGCCCATCACCGGACGAGAGATCCACACGACTCGGACGACCGACGTCCGCGACGACGAACCCCAACCTACCCCTGGTGCCCCCATTGGGCCCACCCTGTGCCCTGGGAACCCCTCCTTCTTTTTCCTTTTCATCCTTCACGATCAGGCCTCGCTTTCGGAAGCCTCCATCACCGAAGATGATGATTCCGACGAGGGCTCGTTGTCCTTGCCCTCGCCCTCCAAAAGGATCTCGGCCATCTTGGCCTTCGCACCAAAACACACGCCACAGAGCTTCTCACCCTCCTCCGCTCTGATCTCTGGGCGCTCCTCTCCCACCACCACGTAGTTATGGTAGTGGACCCCCCCTGTGCAGAGTGCGCCGTCGTGACCTCCCCACCATCGAAAGGATGTAGGCGCCCTTCGGGTAATGGCTCTCCGGCTTGTGGTCCGGCTCTTCCTCTGCGTCACTGATGACCTCGGTGGGCGAACCCGGCCTCGACGTGGGCGTCACCGGCGGCGTGCCCTCGACACTCTCTGCACCGGGCCTCGGCTTCAGCACCAAGCCACCGGCTTCACGTCCTGGCCACATGGGCGGCGGCAATGGCATAGCCGTGCTCGTGGCCTCTTCCAACGTCCTCCCAAAGCTCTCCTGCAGCCACCTGATGTAGCTGTTGATCACCGACTTGTCATCCAGGATGTCCGTGGTCTTGTAGTTGCTCTTGATCTTGTGTGCAACTCCCCCCTGTGCCGCCAGCACCACCTTCTTCGTCGTGACTGCGTACTCCTCATCCACACTCGGACTCCACCTTCCCCATCGGCGCCTGACCTCCTTCGGCACCTCGGCAATCAGCGCCCAGGACATCATGGTCACGCGCTCCGAGTGCTCCGACCAGAATCCAGTGCCCTCCGCGGACATCAAAGCTCTCCGCCTCCCATCCCTCGAAGTCAGACTCGAGGGCAACTCCGAAAGCAGAGCTCTCGAGTAAGCCATGGCGTCCGGGTACCTCATCATCGCCTCCGCGAAGCCATGTAGATTCTCACTGGGCCTTGCCATCAAGAAGTCCCTGCTCTCCGATTTTGCATCCTTGTTCATGGTGGCGAAGAGCTCGTAGCCGACCCTCAACCACTCCCTTTCGAAGATCCAGGCGTTCACGGAGATGTGGAACTGGACCACTTCCACTCGCCTTCCGGCACCGGTGGTTTTGCTCCTCATGATATCTCCTTGAAGTCCAACTCCAACCTCCCACGACAGCGTAGCTGGGGGGACCCCCTCGGTGTCATGTGCCCGGAGGGCCCCCCACAGCTTGAGGAGCTTAAACCAGCAGAATACCCTCTTGTACTTCTGCAAGGAGGTGTTCATGACCCCTTCTTCCCACGCCCGCAAGACCTCCAGCGGGAAGCGATTCGCTTTCTGCCGTGCCCGTGGTCCCCAGATGTTGCTCTTCTCAATCTCCATCAAATAGTGGTGCAATGCCATAGACGTTGACAGCCTCTTTTCCTGCGGCAGTTCCGCAGCATTCTCCATGAATACCAGGGCCTTAAACAAGGACCCCGGTACGCTGCGGCCGCAAGGCTCTTCAAGGCGGGCATTGATGTACATCATCAAGTCCTTCGGATGGCGTAGCCACTGGACTCCATACACACCCTCCATGTACTCCTGGATCCGCCTGGCGTGCCTGACATGTTGACGAATCGTGGACGCGCGACGGCCCATAGCATACCGAGTTGCTACATACTTCATCGCTTCAAACTCCTTGTCCGGCTTGCCGAGGTAGCCGGCCTCATACAAGAGCTCATGCAGCTCCTTCACCCATCGCTCTCGCTCTCCCTGTTCGATCTTCTCCCTCTGGTTGTCCCCAACGACCTTGGAGGAGAGCCTTTGTAGTCTTGTCGTCCACGTCGCTTTCGGCATCAACCGCCGGGCCAACTCCATAGGTGTCCCCATCTGTGCTTCTCCTTGCGGAGTCTTGGCCAACTGGCGGTCCACGTACCTCTTGTCCCGGAACAAAAGTCGTTGGTGCGTCAGGAACACGTTGTCCTCCAGATCCAGTCGACGCCGCTGGCGTTTGGCTTCTCTGTAGAGCTCAGTGTAGTCTTCCTCTTTCCACCGCTCTGCCATTCCTGGTAGTAGGCCTCTTACCTCTCTTTTAGGCATGCCATCAAAGAAGGCTAAACTCTGGGGCTCCCAGCCCCTGCTCAAAAGGATCCCCACTACGCCCGTGGCGGGCATAGCAGAGACCCGGCCCACTACCCTTGTTGAGCCCTGAGCTACGTTCAAGACACATATCGTCATGCAGGCTTGACTAAATTTATCCAAATGAAGTAAACATGGCCAAGTTGTTCGATCTTCCCTTTCGAGCCCATGGGCCGGCAAAGCAACCTCGCAGAAGCATATGAACTCCTTGCCGGTCCGTGTATCAACCGGTACCAACTCTGGGAAGTTCCACGATCAGTCGCAAACATCTAAAGCACCTCACACACTGCTGTACTAGTAACAAGTGCATCGCTACTAGTAACAAGTGCATCGCTACCAATAGCTTCTTTCTACTGGTAGACATGCATGCCTCTGTTACTACCCAAACAAGTCATCTCATGCCTCCTGGCGTCGCCAGAAGTCCATCAAGGCTTGGCCCAAGGGAGCCCAAGACTGGGACGAGCGACGGTAGCGGCGGGCATGTCTACTAGGAGGGGCTCCTGGCCTTACTACTAGGAGCAAGGACGCTGCTAGGGGCTCCTGGCATCGCTACTAGTAGCACGAAGCTACGAACGTAGCTTCTTCACCTTGACCTGCATCTTTGATGACTGGAAGGACGTGACTCGCAGGCGTGCCCAACTGCAGAAATTGTTTTTGGCCCGCTCATTTCATTTGGTTTCACCCAGGGTCCTGGTGTTTCTCTCGCTTCCTTGGCTTTCTGGTGTTGTCCTAGGCCTTTCAGTTGTCTGCTTTCGTCGAGCGTTGCACAAGTAAAAAACATATCAAAATATGTTGGTCCAAGCATGTCCAAGCTATGACTGAAAATGATTGAACATACTATATATAGTCTTAAATCATGGTTTCAGGTTGTTTCTTCAGGTCTATTCAGAAATATGGTTCTTGGGCTGCCTCCGAAGTGCTGATATGGACTCACCACTTACTGAGGCCCCTCAAACGCAGATATGAGCGACCAAACGCGACAGTTTCTTCCCAGCAGCACTTCCCAGTGCTGGTGATGCTGGATAGATATTTGATTGTTGGAGAACAATCTAGACGAATTGCATGGTGTAAATTTGTGGAAGCTAGAAGTAAGAAAGGCAACGCACATAGAATAGGTCTGACTGATGTCTCTCTTCTTGGCATTCTGTGTGAGCCTCATGTTTGCATTGCGAACGCAAACCTGACCTGCAATGCTTGGTAGACCAAACACACACCAATCAAGAAAAATACAGCATCAAACAGCTATTCTCTACTGGATTCAACATGATTCAACTTCTATGAAGTCTAAGTCTTTTCCATCCGCATGGGGTGCGGCACCTGAGGACCTGAGCAGCACTCTTTCCTGAGCTCCCGAGCTGGGATGCGACTCGGCAAAGTGATAGGCCTGATTCTTGGAGTTGGACAGCGATGGCCTGCAACCTGCTTGATGCTACTAGTAGCAATGGCCTCCACCCTAGTAGCGATGGCCTCCCCCTGGTTCTCGACCTTTACTGGTTCATACCTCAAACATCCTCAAACTCCTCCAGCTTTCAAACTACGTCGTAGCTACGTCTACGTCAAGTGTTATGTCAGCGTGTGAAGTGGAGTTCCTGCACCTGTACCCACCTTCGAGTAGCGACACGGTATACGGTGCATCCACTCAAAAACATTTTAAACGTCCACGCTTTCTTTGGATTCCAAGTGCCCCTGTTCGGTGCATGATGGATGCGACCACCCAGCCCAGTCCGTGAACACCAGGCCTTAAGGCCGTAGTGGCGACCTTGGGGACCTTCCTCACCATATGCGGCTTCCTACGAAGAAAGCAGGTCGGGTGGAGCCAAAGAGTCAGAGCCGGTGAGGCCGATCACCAAGCCCAACAACCCTTGGCCGTTGGCTCATCTGGCTCCAAATTCCACACACGCAAATCTAGTTGTCGGCATCCTTTCAAAAGGGCCATGTTAAATCCTTGAGGATCGGATCCTTGAGGCATATCTTTGACCACAGCTTGACCACATCACCCGACGCCTCGACAGTTCGTGGCCCGACGCTTCCAGCATCACTCACACGCTGAACATCCCACGGCCTTCGGTCTGGTGGGTGCTTGAGCCCGCCATGGCCCGATCTGCTCGTGGGACTCTTCAGCGAAAAAGCGTCTGTGGAAGGGGCAAGGTACGGCTGAAAAAGGCACAGATTCGGCACACCATGTTCACATTGACAAATTTTAAGATTGAACATGCTTGCTAAATGTTGACACTGCAGGCGTAAAGTTTGAGCCCAGTCAGGAGCTATGTTTGTGGCAGCGCCAATGTCCATCTGCGTTCCCTGTCGCAAGCAGGGACGCCTTTAACTCCATAAAGTGGGCTTGCGGCTTGACCTCACCAGCACAACCTGCCATTTTGGTTCGGGCTCCGATGCACACTGCTCGGATTGCTCCCGACTGCCCCGGCCACTTTTCCTCACGCGCGGTGCTCAGTGGTCCTCGGAAGCGGCATCCGATCGCTCAGATGCGCGCCAGCTCGGCCGCCGAAGAAAACGACGCGAAAAAGAAGGTTCTAGCTTCTTGTTACTACTACGTAGTAAGGCACTTGCTACTAGTAGCGATGCAATTGTTTCTAATAGCTTATTGTTTCTAATAGCTTCTTGTTACGTTCGTAGCGTCCTTGTTACTACTAGGAAGGCACTTGTTACTATAGAAGCGATGCACTTGTTCTTAGTATAGCGAACATCGTTACTAGTAGCGTGTTAACATGTTTGACATGTTTGCCATGGAGCCACACCCACCACCCTTGAAATGTCTGACTCTTCATGATATTCATGGTCTTCATGGTGTTCTAATGTTCCCGGCCTACAAACATCTATACAAATCTGCCAGCTTCCGCCCCGGAACGGCTCCGGCGCCTCGCCCGGCAAGCAGGCTCGCCCGCCAAAAGCCATTCCATGGCTGCCTGTGCCGACATAGCGGAGGCAAAAGGTTCTGTCGCGACATTCTTGGACGAACACGACATTCAACATCATTCAACACCCTTCCAAAACGAAGACAGGGCCACCGTTCTTCGTTTGCCTGGGTGTCGTTGTTGGTCTTCCTGAGTGCCCTCCGTGCAGGGCCCTCATCGAAGCCGTGGGACAGCAAGGAACTCAAAGACAACGGGTCCACCTGGCAGCGACTCGACAGCGGCGTCAGCGACTCGACACGTCCACACGTAATTCCAAGGTGTGCTGAACCGTGATGCTGAGGATGCCCAAGTCTTGGGGGAAGACTGTTTCTGTCTCATGCTTTCTCCAGTGTGCGGGTGTATCTATCTCTGACTTCTGTTGAACAACACGCGAAGGGCAGAAGCTGCTGGGCTGGTCCAGGTCGTTGATGTTTCTTTCAGATCCCCTACTACCCTGCACCTGAACCTAGCTTGTTTTTCACAAATGTCATGGATGATGTTGATTGAGATGGTGGTGAAACATAATATGCTACCAGATGCGTTCAGGTGCCTCAACATTGCCCAAAACGCGCTCACTTGGCCTGTATCGCTGGTGTGCTTGTGGCAGGCGCACCTCTGCAGAATTGACAGGGAATCTTTACCCCAGCCTGGAGGCTATCAAATTTGAATCATACACTCCTGGGCCACCAACCTAGCAACGGGAAACCACCCTATTCAGGTATGTCTGGTAAAATGTCCAGGTCAGGTGTACATGTTGAGAGGACATGTCAACAGCAAGCAAAGAAGCTCATCTACATAAGCTTTAGCAAGGGGTGCCACACACTACATGTAATTATGATAATTAACTATATCTGTATGTGATATGATTGCATGTAGGCAAAAAACAATAAAATGTCTTGCAGTGCGTGCACTGTAAGACCAACGTGGAGTGCCGGGCGCTTTTTGCTTTGACTAGCCCACCAGCAAAGGCAGTCGTTCAAGCAGCCTAAATCTCAGACCAGAAAGAATTGTAGATCATACAAAAGGATATTGCGCAGCCTGCAGGCAAATTTCAGCAACCACATCCCAAAGCAGCAAAATGGCCTGGTCGATCTTTGTTCTCCCGCACCAGGCGCTGCAAGAGCCTTTGCACGAAGATCTCTCGTACATCTTGCGCCTAACAGGTTCAGACTGTCGGAAGCAAGCCCATGCAACTTAAGTGCATATATCATATAATGCATATATATATATATACGCTTTTCAGCAGGAATCTCCAAAGCGACATGATGCAAGGTGACGAAGTCAAACCAATAGCAACAGGCAATTTCGCAACTCCGCTCTCAACTGTGGAATCCAAGGTTTCCTTGTGTTTCCTTACTTCCACTGATTGCCGACCGAAAAAAACACAAAACACTCTTTGAAGGATGGACGTAAATGTATGCACATGTCGCAACCTTTGTCATCCTCAAGTACAATTGGGTCCTACGCTTCACAGTCCCCAAAGCGCTTTGATCCTTTCGTTTCGTGGTGGCATAGGGCTTTGACAAACACATTGCCTCGATAGTCTCAGACAAATTCAGCTCCTGTTGCACTTGTGCTTGTAAGGAATCAGGAAGCATCTCCTCAATCTGAGCAGGTGGCTGGATTTCACACAACAACCCTAGGCCACTAGGTCACTACACTAGGCCACTAGGCAAGACACATCTCCAGTGGTTCCTGGACTGGTGGAAGAAACACCTACTCTCCCGTGTTTTTTTTAAACGTATCCTTTTAAAGACTTGTTCTTTTTATAGTTTTTGGAATACCGCCAGCTTTAACCAACATGTATGTGCCCACCCCAAGCGTGCCCTGCAGCTAGGAAAGCCACAGCAGGGACACACTGGACGCACCGGCCCTAAGGGCAGCCGGTATCAAACTGCAAGAAAAGGACACACACTTAGCAACAACACCCCCCGCCTTTGAAGGCAGTTTGCAGGGTGCACCGCTGAAACAAAGCAGTCGCGACATTGCATGGTAAAGGACCCGACACCCATGCGCACGGCACACAGCGGCAGCTCTTACATCCTCCTCACAACCACAAGGTGCACAAACCAGTGATGGCACGCGTTGGCCTGTGGTGCCCTCAGTGACCTGCCACCCACCTCACTTCCATGCTGCATGAGGAACTCGCAGTTCACTCTGTATTTTACAGGATCAGCTCTAATAGTTCTAACTACCTAGCTAACCCTGATAGTCCGGTAAGCGTACCTTTTGTACTCTACCTTGAGAGTCCACGCTACGGGGTCCATAGGGGTGAGAGGAATTTCAACACTTTTCTTTTTTTGGTTTAAGTTAGGTGACCTGGAAGGTCAGATCCATGAGCAGGACACGTTAGCGATTCAAAAGTTGTGTTTGCAAACATGTGATTTGGACAGGTTAGCTGCTTAGAGGTCTTTGGCTTGCAATGTGATTCTGGGAATCTAGACTAAAATCATATAAAAGCATTATCAAAAATCCTGGTGTGGGATACTGAGCGTTGGCAAGTGAAGTGCTGGTGTCCCGCAGAAGTGTGGCTCCCTTGCTTTGGTGTCTTGATGGGCATGTTTGCGCGGACAATGCTAACATGTCCGTTTACGAATTTTAGAAACCCCAAGATTTTGCCCAAAAAAGAGCTAACATAGCCCGTCACAAAAATGGGCATCTCTTCTGTGATGGGACAGGTTAGCAGTTTTTTCGAGGCATGTTGGGTCATGTTCAAAATCATTATGATACCGTTTTCTCCGACTATTCCCCAGGAAATACCGCTCTAGAGCTGAACATGTTAGGGACTAGTCCCAAATGCACCCCGGGACACGTATATCTGGAAGAGTGTATATAGGTTAGACCTCCTGTGAAATCTAACAGGTCTTGTGATCCAAGTCTATGTGGCGTCCCATTTCTCTGCACCAGGTGCAGCTCACGAAGCTGTGAACCTTTTCTGATCCATAAATCCATGCCCCTCATATGGACCGTGACCGACGGGATTGGAGAGAGAAAACGTGATGCCTTTTGAACACACCTGGAAGACTTGAGTAGAATTGGCCGTGTACCCTTTCATCTGAGCTTCCTTAAATGGCCCCTCCAAAAAAGGGCAGAACCAAGGGACAAAGGAGGTTCCAGTTGTAGAATGGCTGGTGAAACACGGCCTGCCTCCTGAGTTCCCTATATCCTCCTCATATATTCTCACATATAATTATTCATTAAAATCCACATGTCTGCAAATAAAATTGTCTTGACCCAAAATGAAACTAAAACCGACTGTGGACTGTGAACAGTCACCCTAAATCATCCTCATCATCGTGACAGCAAACATCGCCACTGCCCAGTCCAAGGGTCTGTCATGGGTCGAAAGGACATCTGCTGAGGCAGCACGTGGGACACAGCATGCGCGGCAGAGGAGAAGAAATCGTATTGCCTGACAGCTGCTGCAATGACACCTTCTGCTATAGTTTCTTTCATGTGTTTTCCCAAACACCGAAGAAATACGACGAACATCATCACTATAAAGACATATATTAGACCACTCTTGACCTCGAACCCTGATGACCAAAAAAGCACTATGTCGAACCATGTGTTCGAAAAACACATGCAAATGGCTGTGAATCCCACGCCCATTGATGGACGCATGTCGTCTTTCGAACATGACCTTGTCCTTTCGATGCTCTAATCTAAGAGGGGCGGCGAAGCGTGTTGGTTAAAAAAACAAACTTCAACTTCAACTATCTGGTTGCAAACACAACTGCAATGATCTAATCATCATTCTGAATTTGAAGGCTCTGAGCATTCTGAGCATCGCCATCTCAAGCGAAAGCATCGCCTCTTGCATTGGTCAATTTGAGGCCTGCAGTCCCCTTGTCAGTCTGCCAAGCCAAGTGACAAATACTTCACCGTCTGCAAACCTGAAGCCAGTGACTGGGAACCCTGCAATTAGGGCAGGCATGGGCGAAACTTGGGAACTGTGTGCTCTACATCACATTCTCAACCTCAACTCATTTTTTGCGGGACGCCTTGTCGTGCTTTCATAATATCTACCCAGCATACGGTGGTGCGTGTCGTATGATTCCCGATTCCCTATAGTATATAGCACTGACTATAGTATAAGGAACATGTCAATTATGGGCATTCTAGTAAGTGAATTCCCTCGTGGTCGAGTTACTGACAGGAAATTCGGTTTTGAGAGGGCTCTAGGATGGTTTCAATGGTCGCATACACTCAAACGTATCTTCAAGTTCGACATGAGTTTGCTAAAATCCCATCGTGCAAACAAAGGCACAGGAGTCAATAATGTCTCCTCGATGCTCCTCCAAGACATACAACCAATGGAAAATGCTGCGGTTGACCTTGTTGAAGGTGGCCTCGTGAGAGAGCAAATGGAATCACCAAAGGTTGCCCAGTAAAAGAACTAAACATAACTAAACCAAAATTGTTCTCAAGACCTTATGATTGAAATCACTGGCTACAGCGAATTACCTTCCGATACCGTATAGCGTCCGCACGTTTTCCGCCTTTGATGCTCTGAACTCATCTTTGGCCAACCTCTTGCGAAGATCTGCTTCTGTCAACTCCTCCGGTGGCCGAGTGGAGTAGACAGCTGTCAACACTACCACGACCACCCAAAGCTGACCGATTTCATCAAGGAGCAACTTCCAAGCATTCAACGAGTCAAAAAAATACACAAAAATACAAAAACATGACGGACTGCATGGGCCGCCAATCGTTGGGAATAATAGAAGAGCTACCCATGCAACTTGTGGTGGTGTATCAATAATGATGGAAGTGATTGGGGTGGGGTAGGCAGGAAACAATAGGAAAAAAAACTCCATAAACTATCCGAAACTATCCCTGGCTGTAACTCCTGGAAAATGAGCAAAGCTTCATCATGCATCATCTCAGCAAGAATGGGAACAGGAAGTAACCGTGACACGACTGCTCCACAGTCCTCGCAAAGCTCAACTTGTTTGAGCGCATCCTGAACTGCAGTCAAGCACCTGAGGCTTTGAATCAAACCAGTTCTCCCAAACTCCTATGCAGACTCCTAGGCATAACATAATAACATAACTTCCAATGATTTGAGTCTTCTGAACCAAACCCACAGTACCAAAAGTGAATACATATATAATCAATTTTATGGCTTAGTACATAACTGGTTTCTCTTCCTCAAGCGTGCTCTCCGCAAGAAGCATCAACTTCCTTGGATTGGCCTTGAATCGAGCAACCCACCAATCTCTAAGCTGGCCCCACCAAGCGAGATACCCTGATGAGGGGTGTTTGGAACCCTACTGCAACACATCACATCCCTTCAATCATCCCGTCCATCCGGGTTGCTGGATGCTTCTTGGGTTTTGGATCCTTTTTTGAGCGAGTGAAACGTTCAGAACGTCGAGACCACTTCCGCCAAAGAGCAGCTCACGCTTCTCAAGATCTTTCCGCAGCTTGGCATGATTGTCCAAGTGGTCCTGGAGATCTACTGTAACTTCATGTCACAGAGTCATTTGGGAAGACCTAGCTGTCTAATATACAGGACTTCTTGAAGAATAGACAAGAACTTCTTGGCTTGTCCTGAAATTGCCACTTCCCCTTCTGCTCTGAGACATTGGGCATGGGCTCGTGATGAAATTCTGCTGAGAGTTGTGGAGCAAACTCATTTGACGTCTGTCATCATGGCACATCGGGACACCATCAGTACGGCATCGGAATCGAACAACTGACTTTTTTGTGACCATTGCCGTACATGGTTCATTCAAGTGGCAAGGGGCAGCGGCTGCCACAGCAATGAAAGCAAACCAGTCGTCACCAATCGTAAACTAATGTAAGCCATAATTATATATTATGTGTGTGTGTGATAATTTTACAGTATCCCTACCGATTACCTAGGGGGCGTCACCTAATTGTAAGTTACAATTTCCTAGGTTTGATACCTCAAAAGGTGTAACTTACAAATACTAAATCACCTGAACAATTGTAACTTACAATTTTGAGGCCTCTCAATTGGTCAAACATCCCATACGCCTCAAAAATGTAACTTACATTTTTCCAAACATTAAGTTACATTTTTGAGGCTTCATTGAATAGTACGGCATTTCTCAACATGCCAAAGCAGAATCAGCGGCTTTTTTTCAAAGCCAGGAAAAGTCGGAAAGTCGGAGTGCGCCGCACCGTGTCTTCAGAATGGGCCCTACACACGTCGGAGGCAGTAAGTTACATTTTAACCCCCCCCTTTTAAAGCAGTAAGTTACATTTACACCCCCCAAAGTGAGTGGTTTGGGTGGGGGTTGATAAATGTAAATACAGGGCTTCCATGTCCTACATTTTTGACGCGCCCCCCCTTAGGGGGTAGGGATTTATATCTATAGTATATGAACGTAAACACCCACCCGTTGCCAATACTGTGGAATGCACCTCGACAGTAAGCAAAACATGTGCACATCCGTTGGGGACGTGACAGGACGACCTGCGACCGGTGCTTTCACCCAGCGTGCCTTGAGCGGATTGGACATGTTGAACTCCACGTTCCGCTCGAACCGTGCAATGACGCTGTGTGGCGCATCTCGCCGGGACTCAGCGCGGTGGCGCCGGAAGCCAACAACGCTAGGGCCCAGGGCGATCGGTGGAAAGCCTTCTTCAGCATCGGTCAAACCCAGTCTTCGCCGGTCTGGGGCGGGCTCTGGGATTAGCTCTGCCAAGGTTTTCCAGATCCTTCTTTGGGGGGGAAGGATGGTGGAGCAATGTCTTCAACCTCTGCACCAAACCTAGCAACTTAACTTACCACATCTTTACTTGCCAAACATTTAATTTTGATTACTTTTGTGCATGCTCTCCCTCGGTATTAGCATGTATTAGCATTCTTGGAACACATCTGCCTCAGGCTGCGTGCAAGGCTGCCAGCACAAGGCTGCCAACATGAAAGCAAGTCAAAGCATTCAGCAGGATGACAATGACTTCCCTGTTTCATGATCTTAGTGGGGCACACACCCTGCTGACAACCCTCTGGGGCGGCAAACAATCTCTTGAGCCGCCTCGCGAAAGCGACAGCCTTCAGAGAGGAAGGCCCGGTCCTGCACGCGAAGGGCTTCCGAGCCAAAAGGGGCTGATGGCAGCTCCATCAATGCTCAGCGACACAAACTGAGTGTGAAGGGTTGCAAACGGGAGCAGGATTGGCGATGCTTTATGCAACTGGACGCCGGTCGTTTCAGCTGTTTCCCACCTGTCGTTTCAGCTCTTCTGCTAAGCCCTCAGAGAGGCTCTGCACACCTGACATGAAAAGCTCCAGCTTCTTCGGTGACAAGAAATACTCATGAACACACCAGCTGCGCGCAATGATACCGCATGACAACACACACCTCGCCTAGCGACAGCTCTTGAACGCCGCGCCTCGGTGTCAGTTGGTCCACACATCTTCCCCGCTCCCACTGACATCCTGAGGGACAATCCATTATAAAGAACCTCAGGTGGAACCTACTCTGGCTACGGGGCTCCGCAAGCAAACACACACACACACACACCGGCTTCACACGTTGGTCTACACAACTTCTACCGATTTCGGCTTGCATGGCAAAAGCAGGTTGGTCTGCGAGCAAAAGCAGGATGCCAGCAGGTCGAACAGCTACCATATTAAACTTGTTTGACCCACACCCCTCCTGCCATCTACTGCCTGAGGATGCGTGAGGCTTGCCAATCCTTGGTCAAACCCATGTAGTTAATATGTAGTGATGCCACCCTGCACCCTTGCGTCATGAGTTCCAAACCCGCCGTGTTGTTCATTGCATTGTTCTCTCACACCTGCCCGGCGTCAAGGGGCACAAAGATCTCCAGCTTCTCGCTCCACGTTTGCAGGACCTCCGACACGACGACCGTCACGACTCATCTCACGAGACTCGTCACGACATGTCAGGAGGGAGCTGATCCACGGGACTGGAGACGAGCTGTCCTTCTTCGGGCGAATGTGCTGGTGGGACAAGAATCTAAGAAGTGAGAGAGAGAGAGAGAGAAAAAACAAAAATCATCAAACATCTAACTGTCTGAAGCATACTGAAGCCTCAAATGGAGGATCTCCGGATCAACAACGAGGTCTAGCATCAAGCCACCTGCATACACCTGCCGTGTAATCACTGAATTTGGATGCTCTTTCGGTCAACGCAGCGCATGAAATCGACGCGCCTCATCGAAGGCCTTGAAATCCTCCACCATTCCCAAGAAGACCTGACAGAATCGTATTGAGACAGGAATCTTGGAGTCTTGCAATCTTGCAATCGCAGCATCTGATGTCATGATAATGATTATGATTCTATATTGATGAGTTGGGACCAATACCAAGTAAAAGCATCAAGTGGTACAATGAGAATCACCCCAAAGGCTGTGAGTGTCCTCGAACAAGTGCTCGCATGTTTCAAATGGTTCAAGAATCACAAACTCACAGGTCACGAAGCTGCACAGCAAGGCGTCTGTTTCTTTTGAGTTCCCCTGCTTACCCTGTGACAGCCCACAGAACAAGATGTGAAAGGAGGAAGTGTTGGATGTCCTCCCCCGATAAACACGTGGATGGGGGGCACTGCACCCCTGAGAGAGATGAAAAGCACTACTGGTACCACACGACAATAGTTGGCATCCTTCGATATCTTGAAGGCCCTATCCTGATCCAAGAAAGAATCCCACTGAGTTCGACCAAAGCACTGGATCTGGCTGCCCGCTCTCCAGCCATCGCTCTTCCGTGCGCAGGGCAGAAGCCATGACACAGAAATGGAAGCTAGGTTATGTGATTTTAAATTTTTGGGCAGGGCGTCCAAAGCTGGGCCCTACAGCAGCGAGAGTCGGAATACATATTTTGCAAATACTTCGTGCCATTGTAGACTCTAGAGCCAAAATATTCAATGACATTAAGATTCAATCTCTTATGCTTGCCTTTGAACGGTTCTGTTGTCTTGTTGGGGTAAGAAACCATACTTTGAGAGGGACATGCGATTTGGTCACAAATACTAGTCCTTGCTTATTTTCTTTGGGATCGCCAAAAAACAAGCTGGTTACAGTCCCAAACAGGGGAACATTATGGAACATTAAGGTTCCGTAGCTATTGTGGCCTATTCTTGCAGGCTACGGCGTCTGGATGTATGTGACTGGTGCACTTGTGAGCCAAGGGGCAAGGTCACAAGGGCAAAGCCGTGCTACAAGTATCTACTAATTGTGCCAGCAGCAGAATCTGGGCAACATGGTGTTCCCTGACTGGGTGTGGAAGAATTCAGGTGCTTGTGACCATCACCAAGCCGGTCAAAACAAGCCTCTGACATTTCGGGAAGTTTTTACTCACGCTCCGTGGTTTTGGTCGGCCCTGAGGGTCGACGGATGTCGATGGTGCCTGGAAATGATGCCCATCCCTAGTTCAGGAAGGGCACTCACTCAACAAATCCATGACATCCTCCTACTATCAAGCGCCCTCACTCGAACACATGGCTTCAACCAAGGTGAGGGTGGTGAGAAAAGGCCTGGAAAAGTCCGGCATAGAGCCTCAAGCTCTCAGACGCACTGAGTCACAGGAAGCCATGACAAGCAATCAAAATGTTCGGAAAAATGTGGGATGGGAGATCATAGAAAACGTTTGCATTCAATTCTCGCTCGCTCGCTCGCTCTCTCTCTCTCCCTCCCTCCCTCTCTCTCTCTCTCTCTCCCCCTCTCTCTCCAGCGCACAGTATATATACATATATATATAGATACCTAGACTTAGACCCCTCAAAAAACGTCATTTGTCCTGGTGGGTAAACTTGTTTCAGGCGGCGAAGCTCGAAAGCAACTCAACGAGCAATTGTGGTGTCGATGCTTGTTGCTTCTGCGTTGTTTTTGCCACTTCTGCATCATGTTGGCGTCATGGTTTCTATCGGAAACTTGCTGCATCTTTGTGCGTCATGTTTTCCGACGAGACGAACGAAAAAACATCTTTTCCGGGTCCAGGCATACATGTATATAATTACATTTTGATGTATGATGTATGATGATGTATGTATAATGTCACATATTAGTGCCATGCTAAGCTAGCATACCCTTCCCCGCCACAGAAATATGTTTACGCCGAGTCGCGCCAAAATCCCTGAGTATGATAGCACGCACCACCAGGGACGTGGTGACCTGGGAGGGCCAGGTTATCTGCTCTCTAAGGCTAGCTTGTGCCATGGTGTGCCTCAGGCGCCCCGGTGTAGTGCACTAATCCAAGCACATCAACTACATTGGACGCAAGGTGTATGGGCCTTCGCATGCTCAAACAAAGTCGGATCTCTCACAGTCTGACCACGTCTAAGAGGCAAAATGATGTACAAATGCACACCATTCGGATCAAGAACGAGTAAGTAGAAGAACCTCAGATCCAAGAACGCTGAAGAAAGCAGTGGGGCGCCTCACTGATCAGGGCCAGGTCTGATCTACTTCTACCTTCCCTAGCTTAATCTAGCCTGGTGCTCTCGCAGTGGTCTCTCCTGCGCTACTTCATCGCCTTCACCAATCAAACTGTGTCGATCTCAGGGAGACACCGGGTGGTCTACCCAGCGGCATCAAGAAAACCATGTGCAAAACTCCATCCTTGGGTTTTAAAGTTTTGATGGCACAAAAACCGTCATTGCGGGCCGTTTCCGCTTCTTGTGGTAGTCTACCAAGGTGGTTGATCATTGGTTTATGAACGTGAAGAACCATGACGCAATCTCAGGAAAACGGGTGGCCCGTGAGCTTTTCCTCTCCTCTTGGAAGCAGTGACCACCCTCGGCGATCAAAGCTGGCCAAGCAGCAAGTAAACGATCGCAACTATTGTGGCCACCCAAAAGTCTGTAAACACCAAAGCTCGTGGTAAGAGCCAATAGGATGATAAAGCCAAGGGAAAGTTGAGGAGATGCATATTCATCAGGAAGAAGCCTCAAGTGAGAAAGAATCAGAAGTTATGCTCATGCACCCTGTCGCACCAACATTACATGCACTAACGACACCTAACAACTACTACAGGCCTGGCAGGAACATCTCACAACATGCACTTCACAGGTTTGGCCGACCTGCCTTGTTCATTTTGTTGTTATGTATATATATATATATACTTAGGCCGGCTCTTAAGCCCTTGACACTAAGGGCGCACATAATAGCTATGGGTGCAATGGAGTTGAGTAAAAGTGAGTCTTGGCACTTTGCTTTCCAACACTTGTGTACAAGTCGCTTCGGAGTCTTGGAAGGTCCCCTCAAATTCATCCCACGTCGTCGTCCATGTCAGAGTATATCAACACGCTCAAACCAGGAAGCGTTTGGTCAGGCCTGGTCCGGAGTCCGAGTACCTTTTCATACCTTTTCTGTTTCACTCTTTTCAATCTTTTCTACACGCTGTTCACATGCTCCATATGATTCGCACCCGGTTTGCCACAAGTCAACTTTGACGTGCAAAATGACTCCCAGTCGCTGAAGTTCAGCTTCATGAAGCCAGACCGGCTTTTTGAATCGCAAAATCCTCACATGAAAGCTCACATGAACGCCAATGTGCCTCAAATGGCCCTCCAGTTCGTAGACTCGTGTGTGACTCGAACATGTTTGGCCCAGAGCAGCCGGTTTTGGTTGGTATATTTTCATCATGCCGCTGGACAGGCTGAAGAACGGTCGAGTCTTGGCTTTCTGTGTTGGGTCATGCTGCCCGCAGAAACTGTCTGCCACCAGGCATCCCAGAATCACTGGGAAAAGCACGAGCCACCAAACCTCAGGAGTCACCATGGAGATCTCGGGTCTGGTAGATCTTGCGAACGCGAACTGAGACTTGGAGATCGGAACTGAGCGAACTGCACTCGTCTAAGACTCCCTCTAGATCGAAGCTGAAGGCTCCACCCTCAAGAAGAAGTATATACACAAAGCTGGTCTCCTCCCAAGATTCTTCTAGTTTTTGCACTCCCATCCAATGTGTGTATGGCTGGAGGACAGAAAGACTACGCCGTTGCACCCCATCATGCATGCAGTCCTAGTGACCGCTCATGAATGCTCTCCGAGGAGCTGTGGTGGTCACAGTGGCCATTGCCAGTGAGGGGAATCGCAAAAGCTCAGCAGCCAGCGGGAAATCCACCGCGTGGAAGAGGAAGTGTAGGTTCAAGAGGAAATATGACCAACCTGGGAGTCCATCCAGGTGAGAAATCCCTCCAAAGACGGGAACTGAGAGTCCATGACCGCCATGGTTGCCAATATAAGCCAAAGACTGAGCACCCAGTCTCATCCTTGCCAATCAAAAGGACTAAAGATGCCAAGCAGCAAGTGTAGGTGGCTAAAGGAAACCATTTGTACTTATAGACGGACTGAATTTGGACGAAGATCATGTAGGCTGACACCGCGGCATACCTGGGCACTAGCGCAATACATGGAAACGCAGATGTTTTGAAACATGCTGACCCAGAATTGCAACTTAAATGGGTTTCTGTTGATCTTGCTTCACAAACGCATACCAAAAAAAACATGGTCGCGTCGCGTGCACATGGCATTCGACTGAATCTTGGATGGACGGTTTGGGAATCGTTCTGACGGTAAACAGGACAGTTATATAACACAGCTCAAAAGGGCTTCCAGCTATGTGGCAATGTGTGACCACCAGCATCATTGCACATGGGCCGCTGTGGGAGCTCACCCGGCAGTTTTCCAAATCATTTCACTACACCAGCACGAGTGCTTTTGTCCTTTCACAAGCGTATGCCAATTAGGTTCCTCTTAACCAGGTGCTTCCAATTGGCCCACTTGCGTTCACTAACTCGCTGCCCCGTTTCGAAAAAAACGCAGAGCTGTTTCGCGGCAAAGTCACGTCCAATTCCACTTGGTCGATGGCAATTCAGGTCTGGTGAGGAAGGGCAATGTGCAAAGGACGAAGGAGACCAAGATCACCAGGAAGACTTTGGCCAAAGGAGACCTCAGTGAAACGGGATGGAAACCCAGGGAGGGCCGGAATCGTTAGCACCTTCTCACAAATGCTTGCAAAACAAGCAGCCTCTAGCTCAGGAAATTCGTCTTTGGCCATGTCATGATTCCGTCTCACTGGTCTTTACATGTCCTAATCAAGCCCCAGCAACCAAGGTCCCAAGCGTAGTGTTTCAGGAAAGACATCCTTGGCCGAAAGCACTCGGGCCCTGTTTTGGCTCAAAAACTTTTCATGTTTCCCCGGCTTCCCCTGACCCACGTAGTTACCCGCGTCATGTTCGATTCATCTACACGTCGCATGGTCTTTTGGCAAAGAACACGCATCGTGGCTCAGGCGCGGCATGTTGGGGGCAAGTTCAGCAGCATCAATTGAACCACTTGAAACATGTGAGTGCACACATCTGGGGCAATGCAACTCGCTATGACCAGGAAGAAGAGATACAAAGAGATAGTGCAGTGGACTGACGATGTTTTCTATGATTTTCTATGGCACTTCAACAGCTGCAGCAGCTACATTAGCTGTTTGTCCTTGTTCATGTTTTCAATTTCTCCAATCTACTTGCATTGCAGTGGCAAAGGCTGGGAAAACCCACTCCTCCTTCTTCGATTTCTCCTCTTCGCCAAAGAAGCTGCCTTTTGGCAATGAAAAAACGATCTCAACAAGCCTGAAGCAAACGGATCAGGACCTAAGGCCATCAGGTGATTGGAACAACTCATTTCAACAAGTTGCGACTCGCTGCTTCAAATGCGCAGCTAGGCAAACTGGATGACATAGATTTCATTATGATCTTTCCTGTTCCATTAGATGCCATTCGTTCCAACGAATGGTTTTAAGAAACATCGCAGTTGTTGTGTGAGCAAATTCCACCAACCAAAAATCCGTGAAACCGGTCATGTTCCCATACCTCTCTGCCTATGACTGAAAATAATGATTTCGGCAACAGTTGCTGGAAACAATTAGGGCCATGTGTGGCAAAAGCTTTCGAGGACAGTGGCGAAGTCACACTAGACTAGAGGGGGGAAATCAGGCACAGGGTAAAGCGGTAAAGCACAAAACGTGAAGCCCACGCCCGAGGTCGGAGCACCTGAAGAGGATTTTGCCTTGGCAGCAATGTCCTCAAAAGAATTGAGGAAGCCAGGCGTTTCTTAAACACATTGCACACTATTTTAAATGGGTATCTCGCTGATCCACTATACCGACTATACCTATCAACAATTGTCTTCTGTGCAATGGTCTTTGGAAGTAACATCCATGAGTCTATCTATAAGAACCATTTCCAAACAGCAGGGCTGGTGAAGCTGGTTGAATTGTTGAAGTCATGTTCCACTGACATGTGACATGTTTGTGAAAGCAGGATAGCCTGCTGATAAACACCTTCATGTTGAAATCTAAGCGTTTACCGCAACCACACGTCAAGTATATGCAAAGTGCCGTCAAGAGTCACAACTGTCAAGCACAATAAACAACTTGGAAAAGCATATGAAAGAAAGCAACCGTGAAGCACTGCAGGTGAGCAGGAGCATCAGATTCCACAGTTACAAGCCCAGAACATCATGGTGGAAGGGTCTGGTCACCCAAAAGCCAAACACACAGCTGGCTGTGACCATGTCACCCATGGGGTGAGACTGAACACCCCGGCCTCTACCTCCGCTTGCGACCTCTTCCGGCACACCTCCTGGCAGGAGCGAAGGCGCCCGATGCAGCTAAGCATCTGCACAACGAGCGTGGAAGCTCTAAACTCATTTGGAATCGCTTATGGGATTGATGTTGGCCACACCTTGAGCTGCAAGTATGCCCTGCAAGAATCGAAGTTGCCGCTGGTTGGGCGACATTCAGCTTCCTTGTTATTTTTTGCCTTTTGGTGTCAGGCCCGTGAGAGGCACCTTTACACATGAAAACTGTCGGGTATATAAATGAAGAGAACCCTGCAATGCTGCCTTGTACAGTTCAGAAGGTCAGAAGATCCTGTTCGAGTCCCGCAGGAAAGGACAAACTTCTTTGAGTTATGATGTCAGTTGAATTTATTTGATTGTTTGACATGATGCTCTTAACTTGCTCCTGGCTGGAGTCTCCATGCACACTGGCGATCGTCAGATTCTCACCACTGAACTCATCGCGGGCCATGGCTGCAAGCCCAAGGAAAGACCCGGGGTGCCCGGGCGTGCTCAAATGCAAGCTTCAGCGGGAAGTAACCCTCCAGTCTCTGCGTCACTGTATGCATGTATAGCTGCATAGCTAAGTGTTTGGGAACAACGCTCCTTGGTGGTCTGCACTCCCAGCTACAACCTGCTCTTGCAGGGGCCTTTCAGGAAAAGCATCTCTATTTGACTTGGGGCCAAAGGGCATCAAGATATGGGTTGCTCAACGTGGTCGAAAGGAGACCAGGTCACAGGTCTTTCTATATATACTCATCTGATTCAAGCTCAGGGCACTAGCTCTAGCTTATGTGTCTTCTCTATGAGTCTATATTAGTATATATTTGATTCCAGATTGTTTGAGGTACCTCTGAGCCAAACTTGGTGTGAAATGGCCGCAGGAATGCACATGAATCTCAGCGAGCCAAAAGCATCCGGGTCCCCACCCAAAGACTCTAGGTCCTACACTACACTCTCCCACTCAACAACCTGGGATGATGAACCTATAGCTTTAACAAGCTTCCTTTGCAACAAGGCAGCCGTGAGGGAAAAGTTGCCCAGCTAAACACTTAGACTTAAACTACAATCCTAGTCACTTCATTAGAATCACAGGAAAGCCCACCCCGACAAAGGAGCTTGATGACCACTCCCAAACTCCCACGGGATCGCATTGAAGACGGCACCTTCCCTGAAGAACACCATGTCAACAACTTGAAAGAGTCAGCCAGGTTGGAGGAGTCAGGGGCATCAATGACTGTCCTCATCATTCCGTGGAAGGCCGACTTTGCGGGATTCGTTGACCCAAACCTGAAGCTCCACAGAGTCAACCACAGGATGCATGATCAGTTCACCTGAAAAGCCGCATTGCAGCATTTCCTGTTGTCCACTCAAAAGGAGTGACATGGATCACATTCCAGGCCTACTTCCAGGCCTCCCGGCATGGCCCAGCTGCCCTGCTGAAAAGCCTTTTTCTCCGCACCCAACGAAGCCATGGATCGAGCTTCACCCAAATAGGTCAAACTCCATCTCCTCCTCTTCTTCTTCTTCCACGACTTTCTTTTCCTTAGTCCAGTCAGGTCCAAAAACTGTCTTTCCCTCCAACACCTGCAGCTGTTTATCATCACTGTCTTGGACATTTGTGCCCAAGCACCCATGCTGGGTGTTGGCCTACTTGGGCAAGTCGGTTTTAGTAATGCATGTGGCAAAGCATCAAGACAGGTTCAGCCGTCTAGGACACAAAACAGATTCAAGCACGGCAGCATGTGGCATGACAAAAAGAGTGTCTGACATCACTTCCACAACACATTGATGCTTTGGAGATCTTCAGAGTCCTGCCCCACAATTAATCTGGATAACCAAGGTTATCCCTTTAATTACTCTTGGGAATGGTGAAATAACTCTTTACCGGTGCACATCAACTTTTTAGATTAATTGTTGGAACAACATATGCTAGCTTGTACAAGCTTCTTCCTTTGCAGCGCCAGCATCACCACCACCGCCACCTCCAGCTGCAGCGGCACCGCCACCACCGCCTCCACCTCCACCACCACCGCCGCCGCAAGCGGCAAACTTCCCAAAGCCACTGCTGATGAGTTCATGCGCCTGGCAAAGCGCAGCAACGGCTCCGGTCACGACCACTGAGCAAACCTCAACATATTGGCGAAACCCAAAGCCGCACAAGTGATCCTGCACTCCTGCAGCATGCAGCATTCTGTCAATCTTCCAGGAACGGTGGTGCCGAACTTGGTCGGCGAACTTCGTTCCAAAATGGGATACCTTTGGATGGCCTGTTGGCTCAACCTTCGCACTTTATCATGCCTTTTCACCATATTTCAGCTTCATTTGACATTGATCGTTTCTTGAAGAAAAGAAGCGACCCATCACACGAAAAGCACAACTTCGAGGCTCGAAGGCCGTGGACCCCGCCTTTTTGCCCTCCATTCGCTCACAAACTGTTTGCAGCATGTCCTCCTCAAAGTTGATGCCACCCGCCTGGCAGAAACACGGTCCGAAAATGCTGGCAGAAACACGCTTGTCGCGCGCACATCACCGAACCGGGGGAGGCAAATCCAGGCCAGGTTTGGAGGGTCCAAATACCTTCCCAGGAGGGCTTGGAGGCCAGGGAAACCTAGGTAATCTGCAAAGGAACAGCTTTATTGTAACTGTTCACATGGCGGACATGAACAAAGCGTTGAGTGGTTTTGTCGGGCAGGTTTGCCCTTGGGTGTGCACCGGCCCATGAAAACAAACAATTTCACTCAAAGCAAATTGGACTCCAACACCTTGATGGCCTCTAGAGAAGCACAAAGTGGGGCCAGCCTTTCCGATGGACATGGGTGGCTAAGGTTGGTTTTTGACTGAGTGACTAGCTACATTTGATGCCACGGTCTCCGGACAGAAATGCTTGACTTAACCAATGGTATGTGCCACCCCGCCGCACTGCTTCCTATGATCGTTGGGGCGTTTTTTTCCTGCAAAGCATTGCCAAGGTCAGCGGTCAGTTCATCCCTCTGCCATCATGTCGTCCTCTGACATTGGGTCGTAGGTGCCTTCTTCATATTCAATATTCAATGTAACGTCCTCAATCGCTGCGCAAATTGCAGCAATGAAATTGGCCGCTTGTTCAAGCATGTCATCCACGATGCTTGTGGCGGAAGACACCTTCTCCTTGGTGTAGGTCTCCTAGTTCTGGCGCTCTGCAGCAGCAACGGCAAACCAATGGATTTGTCCCCCTGCAGGCCCTTCGCCCCCAGTCAAACTGTCAAGACCATCTTCTTTGACCACAAAAGCTCGAGAAACAAGTGGTGGATATTGAACTTGATAAAGGTTCAGAACTGGGAAGCGTTTAAACAGATTCAGAAGGCTGCCCGAGTCAAAAATGAAGTCATGTTTGCTTGCTGGACAATGTTGCACATTTGATTGGCTTGGTGAGCGGGTTCGCATGTGAATCCCCTACGAACCATCAATCAGCAATCACAAACATATATAGATTGTGGGATCGATTCGAGGGCATTTGCAAGTGACAAACCTGCCCAGAAAACATCACTGTCAACCGCCATCATAGCACATCCATCCAACAGATTCACCTCCACCATCCTCCACCCATCTTAGCCAAATATCAACACATAAGTCAGAACAAGTTCTGCAAAAAAACTGAAAACATATTTCAAGGCAGCTTCGGGGGGTGCCTTCAACATCACAACATGGGCCATCCCGACCACCCACCTACCCACCAAGGCGCCCCCAAGAGAAACACTCCCTGCCTGCGCGCTCTATCTTCATCCCATCCCAAGACTTGTCTGGAAAAAGATCCTCTAACAACAAGGTGCCCTACTGCTAGAAACAAGAAGCTACTAGTAACCATGTGCATCGCTACACCTTACTACTAGCAACACGCCCTGCATCCACCCATCCGAGGAAAACCATCACCCAATGGACCAAGTCTCCAGCAGTTCACGTTCCTTGCTACTCACCTGATCTAGCAGCTCTTTGGTAGCCGACTTGGTCCAGTTTTGGAAGGCCTGTGTGAGAAACGCTTTGCCCTCCCACACAGTCGCCGCCACGTCTGTCCCATGAAGCTCCACCAGGTCGCTGCCGTCCTGACGAAGGAGACGTGAAGTCGGACACTTGGTGAGAGTGGAACATGTTTGAAGAGAGTCAGTGAATGGGGTGCGGGGAGCAAACAAAACAAGGGCTTGGAAGAATGGAGGGAGCTGGGTAAAATGGCCTTGGAGCTGCCAGCCCTCAGCCAAACAGCAAACAACAACATGGAAAGGATGAAGGTTGAGGCATGACAATAAGATTCCAATGCCGCTGATCAACACTTCCTAAGCCTTGCTTCCTACACTCTTTCTGGAAAAATTGTTTTTTTTGAGCCTCTATGCCGGTGGTGGTTATGTATATATTATATCTTTTCTGGCGCTGAGGATGAAATCCGTTTGGATGCTCAAAGGTCCAAAACATCTGTGGGGTTCTGTGAGAACCAATCGAACATGTTGCCGTCTCAAAATGGATACTTCCTGAAGTCATGCCAAGGCAACTCGCAAACAGCATTAGGAGCTCAGACTCTTATGTTGATATTCTTATTTAAACAAAAATGTGTTGGTATCTTTCTTGGTCTTCTTGCTCTGCCTGCAAGTGTGCCATATTTTATGTTCAATGTGTGTTTGTGCTATATATTAAATCAATTTTGGGTCCTGTCTGTTAAGGTCGTTTGCAATGTCCTCCACATTTAGCTGATGTCCTTCTAACTTCTGTTTTCAATGTACGTCAAAATCTAAATCTTGCCTTTTGAACTCCTTTGATCTTCCTCTTTAGAGGAAAATAGTATGGAAAAGAGGAGGGTGATGACCCTAATCATGATGACCGAAGTCACGGTGCTGGAGGGCGATGTGGCATAATGAATGCACGGATTCATATCTGCATTTGGAAAAATGCATATTTTATTGTCATTGCTAAGCCTGCTCTAGCAAGTTGTGATCTGAATTTCTTAGCTTGCAAGTCGTGGTGCTTCTTCTTCTTGTCAACTACAGATTCACCTAGCAGTGGAATCACATGCAGCCACAAACGATCTGGCGACGTCATCCCAAATCAACCAAAACCTTGAAAATACCAAGGCAAAAGTGAAACTGTAAATTAATTTTCTAAAGGTTACCCCCCTCCCCCGATTTCAAAATCAAGGGGAGGGGGATAGCGGAGGAAATCACGTAGCTGTGCAGGAACTGGCGGTAGCATGTAATTGGTAGGTAGGTCTGTCTCACAAGGCCATGGCCTGATTCTATGAAACGGACGGCACCCGAAGAGACACGAAGCACAAAACGAAAAGCGACCAGCCAAAATCCAGGCCACCCACCAATTCCAAATTCCGAAAAGCCACACAAGCCAGAAGCCAAAAGGTACCAAATCCAGAAGCCACCCGAAGCCAAGAAGTCACAACCCAAAGCCACATGCAAGGAAGCACCAAAAGCCAAGTGTCCCCAAAAGCCAAGAGCCAAGAGGCCTGCCAAAACCAAAAGCCACAAAGCCACCAAAAGCCAAGAAGCCTCAGAATCAAAGCCAA